ATGCCACAGTTTTAGTGGATTTTCCCTTTTATGTTAAGATTACAAGACAATGAACAAATTGGAACTCTATTTAGCTGTCCTCACTTTTTCTTCATATACCACATTCTACAACATTAATATATGGTGCAACACATTTGATAAATACAACATGTTGTTCTTTAAGGCTCAGTGCATTGACCTCCTTGTTCTTGGTGATACCACTAAAGTATGCTCAGTAGCTGAAGGCTCCATTATTGATAGTGATTTAAATCCAAAATTTATAGCCAGCAGTTTAAATACAAATCAAATTCTGTACCTCAGAGGCAGGTTAGGTTAAGTTCATTTTTGCCTAAAATGAGTCTTACATGTTCATGATAAAGTTGGGAGTTTTAATTTGTTACTTGCAACATCTATCTACCTGTAATGATGAGTGAATTATGAATGCAATGAAACTATCTTAAAACTACCTAGGGCTTAACCCAAGTCTGACTTTGAGGTAACTACAATTTTCAACATAATGGGTCTTTTCCGCTTATCTAGCTGTTTAAATTGTTTGGAGTTTGTTTAACAGGAAATTCCCTTGATGAGTCACAATCTTCTTTTATTTTCCCATTCGTAGTTAATTATGGAATTGTCATAAAGTTTCTCTGATTTTGCTTCATGCTGCAACTCTATTCTTCTGTGTAACACTACATTTTTGGTAATCCTACATGACCATGGCATTTTGAGCACCCTGAAATAGCGATGGTCAATAATAGTAATTATGATCTTCACATACACACATCATACATACTTGTGCCTGACACTCTATACAATCTAGAGTCCCTACACTGATTTGTGAAAAAGCATCTCTGACATCGACAATGCAATAATTGCAGTTGCCATACAATGATTGTTATCCATGGAGGAACCATCTCATAAAGTCTGTGAGAATGAATCACACGTGAAAATAATGCGACAAGTATATAATATGGATATGCAATGATTTGTTTTGTAACTTACCAACCTTCATCAAGAGAATAGCTTGGTTGTAAGCTTCTGAACTTTCATACACACAAATATAATATTATAATATAATATATCCGTGTGCATTAATTTTCCTAACTCAACAATTTCTTGAAGATACCACAGGTTGTGGAATTTGTTCAATGTAGCGAGGTATTTTTGAGTGATCGACATTATTTGCAAGAAAATTATAAATTATGGTTCTGCTTTCCATTGAACGTCAAAACAACAACATAATCTCAAGCCAGAACTGTCAGTATGTCGGAAGTCAAAAGCAGGACATATCATGTACGTTAACGAAGAAGACGTAATATTACCGAAATCAAGGAGGCCATAAACGCGCCCTACAATTGTAGCGACGACTGACGATACGGGCCTTAGTGCATAGATATACCGAATTCAGATTCGTATTATTTGTTTGTGTTGGGTATGATCGTTTCTGATCGAGACAACACTAAGTAAATTAAATAATATAAACATAATGTACTCAAAATAACAACATAAGCAAACAAATTAGAAAGATGTGAATAAATAATAAATAAAACAAAAATAGAGGGACGAACAGATTGAAAAACAGATTAAGAATTAATTGTTGGCAATAATACAATTCACAAGTCTGATGTTAAGTGTTCCTCAATGCTGTAAAAAGGGTTTTCCATAAATAGACTGCAAAATAGTACATCCTAAGCACTGCAGTACTTACAAACTGCCTTAGTCTCCACAACACAAAGCAATGCTTTGATATTTTGTTGTCTAAACAGTCAATATGATCCCTCCAGGTAAGCCTTGAATCGATTATAACACCAAGGAATTTAGTGACCTGGACCTGGTTCACTCTGGTTCCGTTAATTTTCAGGTCAATATCACAACCTGTATCTCGCAAGCAAAACTGCATCAGTTGCGTCTTCTGTTCATTAAGTAAAAGGCCATTCCTTATACAGTACTTCTCCATGTGATATGATGCAACTGACAACTCAGTAATGAGCTGAGTTGGAACTTTAGTTTTAACCCCCACCATGGTATCGTCAGCAAATAATGTACCAAAATGCTGATTCATGAAAATAGGTGCATCGTTGAAGAACAACAAAAACAACAGAGGCCCTAGTATGCTTCCTTGCGGAACACCAGTTAAAACAAACCTTGGTGCTAGAAGATAATTTATATGTACCATTATTAATGACAACTCGTTGTTCCCTATCGGATAGATAACTTTCTATCCAATTTAAAACGGTTCCTCTGACTCCGTAGTTATTAAGCTTCTCGAGGAAAAGAGAATGGTTTACAGTATCGAAAGCGCGGCTTAAATCTATAAAGAGACAACACGTTTTGTCTTTCTTTTCAAGGCAAGTTAAGACAAAGTCACACATAGACAATACTGCATCTTTTGTAGATAGGTTTTTCTGAAATCCAAATTGATACCTGTTGATGATATTGAATTTGTTAGCAAATTTTATCAGTTTATTCTCTTTCGAAGAATTTTGGGAATACGGATAACAAAGAAATACCCCTATAATTAGCCATGTTAGTAATATCATCTTTTTCATAGATCGGTATAACAAGTGATTTTTTCAGCTTATAAGGAAATATGACTTCTGCAAAAGACAGATTCAACAGTGCTCTTAGAGGTTATGCAAGTAAGTCTATGACATTCAATAGGAATGAGTAAGGTATTTGCTCAATCTGATCGTCTTATTAACATCTTAAACGCATCCCTTAGTAAATAAGAATTCCAAGAAGCAATAAAAATAGCACTTGTATCACCATTCTATAAAAAAAGCGATCCTGATTAAATGGACAACTACCGCGCCATTAGCTTGCTGATAAATTTCTCTAACATTTTTCAGCTTGCTAATACATTTATCTATAGTTTTTGAAATTGCTTTTAGTAACCGTTTTATATTTTTTTCCGAATCATATATGTACTTTACCAACAACCAACATGGCTTCATGAAACGTGGAGGTATGAATACAGTATTGTTTAATTTCACAACAGCTATCCATGAATATCGTGAGAAAATCAAGGAAGAAGTAGCATGTGGTTTATTTGTGGAGCATCGATCATTAAATATTACTGAATAAATTATATAAATATGGTATTCGCGGGAATGCATACTTCTGGCTTGAACCCTATCTCTGTAATAAAAAACAGAAAGCAATTCAATTTTGTGTTAAAGGTAATAAAAAGCTCCTATGTGTCACATACGACAGCTACGTTAAGTTTGATAAGCATTTAGAAAGTATGGCTTCAAAAATTAATTAAGCACGCTATGCACTACGAGTACTCACTTGTCATCTGCCCTGTCCAGACTGCCTATTACGGGCTTGCGTATTCTATTATGTCTTATCAAATAACAATTCGGGGTAATAGTTCCGCAGTCAATAGACATTTTTTGATACTAAGCCCTACGTTCAAATTGAAACCTAGAGAGCCATGTAAAAGTATATTAAAGCTCAACAGCTGATTAACATTGCCGGGAATTTATATCTATAACACTGTTTATCTTTAGGTAACCATAAAGAAAAGTTTGGAAGAGACGTCTTCAACCACATTTAATAACGTACCTATGTCGTAAACATTTTGGCACAAAATTCACTGGCTTCTTTAATTTTAACAAACACAAAATAATATCAAGTTGTCTTTGGTAACAAAAGTTGGTTTACTTGCTTTAATGTCGGTTGACATTTATTTATTTTGAAGGTGTCGCCCTATGATGTCGTGTAAATTAGAAATAAGAAAAAGTATCTACAAGTTGGTTGGGCGGGTACTCAAAGCTGAAATCTGTCGGATATTCCAGAATGAAAACATTCGGAAAGTGGAAGACCACGTGCATTTACTGCACAGAGGTCAGAGACATAGGAGAGAAGAGCAAAAAATGAGGTTGGAATGTCAACAAGGAGACTGGCTCGTCAATACACCATATCTTCTGAAAGTGCGATATCGTTGGAATTAAGGAGGAATGGTTTTAAATATCGAAAGAGACTTAAGTGCCCCAAATTCTCTCCACATAGTGTGGCGGTGCACCATCTTGTAGGAAATGAATGTAATTTTCATTATAATTAACGTCATTTTCTATTATTTCAGTAATCGTGGCTCTATTGTATTTTCCAACATGTCCAAATAAAGTAAAGTTTCCAGGAATGAAGAAAGGTCCTACAATATGATTTCCGAAATTGCCGGCCCACATTTATTTTTTCAGGATATTGCGAGTGTACCTTTCGAAACAAATGTGGATTCGAGTCACTCCAGGATAGACAATTACGTCTATTTACAGTAAGTAGAACATACACTCATCCGTGAAACAAATATTAAATTACAGATGGTTGATTAAACGTTGTGACAGTAATTCGTAAACTCCAATCTTCTATCAAAAACGTCTTCATTAAGCTCATGGTCAGGGGCGGTAGGCCCTCAAGTTCTACAGAGCTGCAGAGCCGCCAAAACTTTTGTCTTAACAGAAAAAAGAGCAGTAGAAATTTGATTATTATTTATTTTTCATGTTATCACACAAATAGAAATAATACCGGCAACGCTGCCTCCGCAAGACACGGCGTCCGGTCTGTTTTGTACTGAGAAAGCATTATAATCGACCAATTGTGTACTTGGCATTTTCGTCGCGACTGCAGCGTAACATTATTCATGGGCCAATTGAAAAGGGTCTGTGCACTACTTCGACACAAGCCGCACGCGCTTGCTTTTGTCATACAAAATCAAATGCGCGATTTAAGCATAAGCATGTACTGCATGTTGTACAGATCCATACAGTTCTAATTTGAATGAGATTTTTTTTTATTTAGGTATTTTGGGTCTTACGTTTAGTGACTAGTGACTCACTGACTAACTGTGGCTGTGTAGAAGGGTAGTGCAAGACAATGGATGTGGTTTACAGACTTATCAGCGTGAAATGATTCTGGAAATACACATTTGAAGAAGAAATTGAGCTGAAGGTGTTACGTCGACCGCTGCCGGACATATTTATACAAACACAAGGCGTTAGTCGGGCCAAGGGCTATAATACGCGGCATTTCAGCAGGGAGATTTACACCAAAAATGACTGGATTTGTGGGTGCAACACGAAGAATGCCCTTTTCTGCTTTCCTTGCATATTTTTCGGCGGTGACAAAGCTTGGACGGAGGTAGGTGTTACAGATTCGGTGCACCTGATTGAAAAAGTTAGGAAGCATGAAAACTCTAAAACACATCTTCATAATTCGATGGAATTGGCTTTATTGGGGCTGTTAACATCAGAGCTCAGTTAGATTCAGCATATTGGAGAAATATACAACAGCATAAACATACCGTTACAAAAAACAGGTACGTTCTATCAAAAATAAGCGATTGTATAAAATTTTGCGTAGCATTTGAATTGGCGCTACGGGGTCACGACAAAACCGAGAGTTCTCAAAACCCGGGAATATTTCGTGGACTGATTAATTTTTCTGCTGAGCTTGATACAACCTTAAGCGAACACATGAAAAATGCTTCAATATTAAAGGAACTTCGAAAGGAATACAAAACGATCTACTGGATTGTATTCTTGAAGTTTGTCATGAAGAAATAATAAAACAGATTAACAGAGCCTCGTATTTGGCGATAATAGCAGATGAAACAACGGACATTTCGGGAAAACCCAACTGGTAACAATTTTCAGATACGTATTTAACGGCGAACCAGTAGAACGTTTCTGGAATTATATGAATCCCGAAAAATGTGACGCTGATACTCGCACAAGACATATTGTGAGCGTCGTAGATCCGTTAATAGGAAATTTCCCTAACAAACTGATTTCACAAAGCTATGATGGAGCCGCGATAATGAGCGGACGTAATGCTGGAGTACAGGCAAAAATTAAACAAAGATATCCATTTGCTCACTATGTGCATTGCTATGCGCATCAGTTAAACCTGATTATGTCCCAAGCTGCTTCCGCAAATGCTCAAGTTCGGGTGTTCTTTGGGGATCTGAAAGATATTCCGGGATATTTTAGTAATTCTCCTCAAAGCGTAGAGGTACTGAACAGAATTGTGGGGAAAAAATTCCCGAAGGAGCAACAACTCGTTGGAATTTTAAGATTCAAACAATAAATGTAGTGTTTGAGAACAGAGAATCGCTCATTGAATGCATGGAAGAAATAGAAGAAAATTTCGCTGATGAAACCGTTTGCAAGGCAGCTTCCGGTATTCGCCGTAAGTTCAACGATTATGTTTTCGTGCTTTGGTTGACATTTTTTCATCATGTTATGCCTCACGTTCAACCAGTTGCAGAAGAGAAACACCGAACCAGCGCAAGTTAAAACGGCTATCGATAATTTTGAAACATCTATTGTCGATGTGAGAAATAAGATTGATGACATAATAAATGAAGCCAAAAGTATTTGCACAGACCCCCAAGGCAACAAAAGGAGACCACGTCATAATAGCGGTCACGATCACCGAGTTGCCGCATTAGAAGTATGCGACAATATAGTGAATTCTGCAAATGACAGATTTCAATTCAAAGATCATTTGGTAGTCGTACCCTTTTTTTTTCCGAACACTTTGCAGAGTACTGTCGTAAGTTTCCTGATGACAAGTTGGAAACTACCTGCTTGGCTTATCCCGAATTAGAAAAGTGTCGTGTAAAGGCAGAGTAGTCTGTTATTTTTCCACGGAATGATTGCCGAGATTTACATGGAACTCTGTCCCTTTTGAAATTTTTGATACAAAATAGTTTGGAGGAAGCACTAGAAGAAACAAAAAAGCTATTAGAAATTATTGTTACAACTCCTATGTCAACATCAGAGGCTGAGCGAAATTTCTCACCATTAAAATGAATCAAGACTTTTCTTCGAAATACTATGACCCATTGTCGATGCTGTCCATCGAAACGGAATTTATTTCGCCCATGGAAAATTTCAACGGGAAGGTGATCGACAAATTTGCTGCCAAGAAGGAGCGTAGGATCGAACTGACATATAAAAAATAGGTAAGTTCGGATTTGCAGAACACCTGTTTTATTTTGCCACGAGCCGCCACTCCTCATGGACAAGTTTTACCTTGTACGGGTGAAATTCATTGCCTTTCAAAATTTTTGTTCTATTGAGCGTGTAAATCCTGAAAAAGTAGCCAGTCCACGAGTGCTTTAAGTGCTGTCAAGTGCTAGGTGTCCCAAAACTGCTATTTCCGCGGCTTCATTTCTAACTGGTTGCTTGTCTCGATGGCAATTCCTGCGAATATTAGACACAGATCCAGCTTTTAAAAATTTTTCCATCAATTTCTTGTCAACTTAGCCACATACTTATCGTTAATATTAAACAACCGGGCAGTAGCTCTTGCAATGCTCCCATTTATCACAACTAGGTAGGTAACTTAACAATTTGAAATGAAAGACAAAGTTTTTCTATGTCATGCGATGACTCTGGCTGATGCCAAATGTTCTTGCTCGTATCCATTATTATCTGTACTACAAAAAAGTATATTCAGATAAGAGATAGACCGGATGTAAACAAAAGGTTCGGGTGATTTTCACGCTAACGCCGCCGTCTCGACGTAAAACAGGAGCCCTCATTGGTCAATTCGCAATTAAATGCCTATGCCGAGCGGCAGAGCAGTCGTATCAAGGCAGAGTCACATTCAGGTTCAGACGTGTTACGCATGTCGTGTGCATCATTGCAATTTGATATTTCTTTGGACGTTTTCGTTTGTTATCTTATTAAGTTGTTGAGTTTGTCGTTGTTATTGTTATACCTTGTTATTGATTGTTATTGTTATCAACTGCTTGCGCAAAATGCCCAGTAGTACAGATACTGCCGATGAAGTTGTAAACTCCTGTAGTCCACCTAGGAAACGCTCTAAAAAAAGACACCTGAGTGCAGAAATGAAAGAGGTCATTTTGAATATATATAAAATCGAGCGCGAGGAGAACGAGGCATCAACCATCAAAGAAATTGTTGTGAAGGTTTCTCACAAAGTTGGGGTGTGTCGCGCATCAGTGTTTAATGTGTTAAGACAATACAAAAAAAATCACACCTTTTCTGAGCCAATGACCAGTAAACATCGCAAAAGTATTGTTAAATCATTGGATGAAGCTGATAAGCATGCGATTAGGAGGAAAGTGCATGAATTCTTCTTTAGGAATGAAATACCTACTATAGATAAAGTACTGCAGGAGGTAAATGGAGATACAACGTTGTCAAATTTCAAACGATCAACTTTCCATGCGTTACTCAAGCATTTAAATTTCAAATGGAAAAAACGGGGTCGTAATAGTTTACTACTGGATAGAGAAGAAATTGTGCTATGGAGGAGGGATTATTTAACAAAAATTGGGAAATATAGAAATCAAAACAGGAAGATTTATTACCTTGATGAAACGTGGGTAAACGCAGGACACACTACAAGTAAAGTATGGGTTGATGATTCTGTAACTTCATCCAGGAGGGCCTTTCTAGATGGACTGTCCACCGGATTAAAAAATCCAGCAGGTAAATACGAGTAATAGACAACAATCGGATGTTTTTCAAACCTTGGGGACAAGGTTCTATACATTAATTCCAGGGGGCAGATAAAACATATTACAAGTAACAAAACTTTTATAACTTCCGATAAAATGCGTGGATGTTTTATTGTCATTTTCATTTGTTAGAACTTTTTTAAGCCATGTTTTTATGTGTTTTCGATATCTCAATAATTTTTTAATATAATCTTAAAATATGTCGAATATTATAAACTTAAAAAAAGTTACTAAGTTTTATATTGTGTACCGTTCCTAATATTTCTAATCATTTTAATTCATACTTTAAGCTTTATAAAGTTATAATTTGTTAATATTAATATTTGCGCGTATTTCAGGTTCCTGATCATTCATTTTTTAAAGGTTTATAACTTTAAATTAAATTGTGAAGCGCTGAGTAATCATACGACATTCAATATTGTTTCTTTCAATATGACTAAATAATCCCAATTATAGCAATCTGATACTCATGTCTCAATGTTTTTTCGCTGAATGTGATGAAAACATTTGAAAAAGGTTCGCTTATTGAAATAAACCTACACCAGTTAGTACTTCGATTTCCAGGTAAAGGGAAAAGGCTCATTATCTGCCATATTGGCAGTGAGGATGGATTTGTTGTTGACGGTCTGTGGTGCTTTGAGTCTAAGAAAACTGGAGATTACCACGAGGAAATGAATGGCGAATCGTTTGAACAGTGGTTTTCAAAAAGTTTACCGAACTTAGAGGAAAACGCAGTAATTGTGTTGGATAATACGCCTTATCATTCTCGAAGAATGGAGAAGGTCCCAACAACGGCTTCAAGGAAAGTTGATGTTCAAAATTGGCTCCGCTCGAAAAATATCAACTTTGAAAAAGCAATGCTGAAAGTACAATTATTAAGAATTGTCAAGGATCACAAGGCGGAATATCAAAAATACGCCATTGACGAAATGGCAGCAAGTCAAAATAAAACTGTGCTCCGTTTACCTCCATACCATTGCGAGCTCAATCCCATTGAGCTCATATGGGCAGAGGTTAAAAATTATATAGCTAAGCACAATACAACTTTTAAATTTTTTGACCTCAAAGGAAATTTCAAAGAAGCACTAGAATTAATAACAGCGCAAAAATGGGAAAACTGTATTAAGCACGTGAAAGACAAAGATGAAAAGAGAATGTGGGAACTGGACAATATTTTAGAGGAACAAGTCGAGCCATTCATTATTGACGTTGGTGCTTCAGGCAGTAGCGATGATGAAAGCTCATCAAGCTCATCTTTCCAATAAAAGATGTCGTTCATCAAATTCGGTAAGTTATAAGTAATTATACAGCTACTGTATTTTTTAATTAATTATAGACATTTTTGAACCCATTTTGGCAAAACCTATTCAAGAATCTACTTTCTGACAATGTTCAACCATGCACATTTTTTTACGTTTTGAACGTTTTAATTTGGTTACATATTTACCTAGAAATCAAAAAATATACTAATCAATATTCTAAAAGCAATTTTAAGAGATATACGATTATTTTTAATTTAGGCTAATTTAAACGCCATTTTGAGATTATATTCGACGGTATTTCACCAAACATCAGACGGCATCCGAAGCTGGAAATCGAAGCGAAAATTTTGAAACCCTTATGTATATTTACATCATTATATATTTCTTACCCCACCCCCACATGATCCTATATCCATCACCAATCGTACACACATCGAATTGTGCTAATTTACTACAAAGTTACGCAAAGCAGCATCTACTATCTAAAATATGTACTGCGTGACTCTTAATACGTCCCTGCCGACTGTTACAGCGTTCGATGATCACGTGGTCTTGTTT